CATCCTGGCAGGAGAGGGGCTGTCAGCTCTCGTGGTGTCAAGGACTGGGGAGGTGTTTGGACGCACTGAAGCATCTCGCAGTTCTCATCAGCAGGATTTGCCTTTCCAGCCTCTGGGAATGGCAGAGGAATCACTGCAGGGCAGAGGATCTCCCCAGAGGTACCCACTGGCCACCGCTGCCTCAGACTGTGCGGGCACATCTGCGGTGTTATCAGTGCCGTGGGCTCCTTATCAGTGCCGTGGGCTCACAGGGCCGCGAGGACACGGCAGGGTGCAGCCACATGGGCACAACCACGCCTTCATGCCAGCAGAGCCCACCCAGCTCTGCCAGGGATCACTGGCACCTCTGTGCTGGTAGGATTGGGCTCAGCCCAGCCCCATCCCGCAGAGTCAGGGGGCTCAAGCCCTCAACCTCTTTAATCTTTTTCTAAAAGATTGCTAAGGGGTGGAGGGGGGGGATTGAAAACCAAGTCTAAAAATAGCTCCTAAAACTTCCTGTGCTGCTGGCAGGTGGCTGGGACAGGCTGCGGGGGCGGGAGGCAGCTGTGGGGCTCGGGGCCGTGCCTCTGCTCTTACCATGGGGTAACCCCGGCAGAGGGGTCCCGGGGGGTGCCAGCCCCCTGCCACCCACCCCGGCTGCCTGCTGGGCTGCCTCGCCTCTGGCTGCACTCCGTGGCTGGTTCCAGCCAAATTTGGCAGAGATCAGAGGTGCTGGGACCTCCTGGGAGGATGCCAGGGAGGGGGTGGGGAAGCTGCAGGCTCTGCTGAGCCCTTGTTAGACACTGGAGAATCCAGCAGCAGCACGCCAGGGCTGCCAGGCTCTCCTTGTGCTGATCCAGCGGGGCTGGTCTAGCAGGTGGTGGGTGTTTGCTGCTCCTCCAAGGCATGGAGAGGGCTCAGAGCCGGTGCTGCTCCTGGCTGAGCCATCACTGACAGGGATTTGGACAGGGATAGTGTCTCCATGCCGCTGGTGGTTTGTTCATTGTCCCCACCTTGCGGGGTCCTGTGATGAGCAGCAAAGCTGCTGTCCCGGTTTTGACCCATAAAACACGAAGGGAAGGTCTTTCCTGGGTTGGAGAGTGAGAAGAGGTGGCCAGAGAATGGAAATACTCTCAATGCCTGTGACCTGGGGGTGCCGGAGGCCGTGGGAGCATGGCTGCATCCTGACAGCCCCAGCTCTCCCCCTGCTTTGTAGCAGCAAAGGGAATCCTGGAACACCATCTGGGGAATGAATGAGGTTCGGGTGCGCAGAGAAGCGGAGCCCGGCCGAGCCCCTGGAGCACCGGGGGTGACGGCAGAGGAAGGGGGTGCCCAGGCCGGTGGTGACTTTGGGTGACAGGAAGGTTTCCATCCGGATGGAGCGGCTGGGGACAGCAGCAGCACAACCGCGTGGGGTTTCGTGTGCCGGGTGTGCGGGCTCGGAGGAGGGGAGGTGATAGCTCGTGTCCGGGGAAGGCGGCGCTGGGATGAGCCGATAACAGGCACATGGCGCTGCCCCAGGGGAGCGGCGTGGCTGCCAGCGTCCCTCCTCCCCCTTTCTCCCCTTCTGCCCTTGTTCACCTGCGGTGAGACCGTGCCACCGAGGGGCAGCCGCCAGCACAGACCACAAGCCGTGCTGGTCGCTTGTGGGCTGCAGTCTCCTCTGCCCACAGCAGTGCCGAGGGTGAATTTAATCAAGAAAACGGAGGTTGGCTGATTCCTCTCTCTCTCTCTCTCTCTCTCTCTCTCTCTCGTGTTTCTATTTTTCCTGAAGAGGAAAAAAAATCAAACAACTTTGTTTGTGAGTCACTCTTGGCCGGGGGAGCAGGGCTGCGCTCTGTGTGTGCATCAGGCTGGCACATCCCACCTCGCAGGGACAGGGATGCTGCCGGAGGCACCGCCGGCGGCTCTGACTCAGCCCACCCTCCGCACAGCCCTTCCCGCACTGCCCACCTCGCTGCCGGTGTCCGTGCCCTGCGGGCAGTGCTGGCAGCCCGGGCACATCGGGGGCACAGCGTGGCACAAAGCGCTGTCGCTTTGAAGCGGCCTCGGCTGGTCACCGAGGGGCTCGGTGCAGCCTGGGGACACATCCTGCCTGTCACCCTCGGCACAGCGGGGTTGTTCCAGCACCAGCGTGCCCGGGCTGTTCCCGAGGAGCTGCCATCAGTGCCAGTCCTGGCTGGGGAGCCCCATCTTGGTAGCCCTCGTGGATCCATCCTTGCATGGATCCAGCCCTCCTGGAGGCAGGAGGCTGACCTGGCTCAGCCCCACTGTGCCCCTCCATGGGGCAGCTGGCCCCGTGATGGAGCAGCAAGGAGAGCATCTGGGCCAGGCCGGGGCTTTCCCAAAAAAGGCCTGAACTCTTCGGTTGAGTTTGCCACTTCCCTTACCACTCCCTTTCCTGTGAGAGGATGTGTTTGGCCACTTTTCTTTTCTCTTTCTCTCTTCTTTTCTCCCCCACCTCCCTGCCCACAGAGCCGGCGGTCCTGGCGATGCCGCGCGCCCCCTGAGCCAGCCGGGGTCACCCTGGCTGGTGCCATGGCCAGGCTGCAGGTATGGACACAGCACAATGGCTGCTCCCACACCCCCCAGTCCTCCCAGCACCCACAGCACAGGTGGGCACATTGGAGACAGCACAGGTTGTGCTGGGAGTGCCCCTGCACTGAGGTGGGTGCTGATTTGTGCCCCGTGCTGCAGAACTGGGGGAGGCTGCTCTGCCCAGGGTGAGCAGGGCACGAGGAACTTCATATGCAGGTGTGTGGGATGGGGCCAACACCTCAATAGGGCCTGTTGGAAGGGGAGGTTCCCCTTTGAAAGTGATTTTGGGGAGAGCTCATCTTGTCTGGTTGCTTGGAGGGTCCCCGCTCCATTTGGCAAGAGGGCAGTGCCAGACATCATGGGGACATCACAGGCGTGTGTTGCCACCAGGCACAGCCCAGGGACACCTGGCACACGGGGACTCCCAGCCTCACAGGGGGCTTGGGGAGCTCAGGGAGGGTGGTTCTGGGCTGTCTCTTCTCTCTGTGGGGAAATGTCCCCTTTTTGTCATCCTTCCTCTTTCTGCAGCCTCGAGCGCACGCCCTCGCCTTCCCTCCCGCACTTCCCTATCCGACAGCCCCGTGGGGAGGCCTGGCACTGGGGCAGCTGGTGACAGCCCCACAGCACCCAGCCCTTGCCAGCATGGGGAGGTGGGGGTGGCAGGGACATTAAAGGGTGCTGGGAAATCATCCCTGCAAATCCAGACCATGGTGGCAGTGCCCTTTGGTGTCCATTGGAATGTCCTGGCATTGCCTTTTTGTGCCAATCCAGATGTGCTGGCATTGCCTTTTGGTGCCAACGAGGATCACACCAGCAGCACCCCTTGCTGCCATCAGACAGTGCCCCTGTGGTCCCTGTGCAGGCCCACAGTTCCTTTCTCCCTGTTCCCATGGCACAGCACACTCCTCCAGAATGGCCCTGGCTGTGTTCCACAGCACCCAGGGTGGGCAGTGACCTGATCCTGATCCTGCTCCTGGCTGGGTGCTGGGTGCTGAGCACACCCCCTGGTATGGGAAGGGGATGCTCCTGCCAGGGGATGCTGCTCCCTCCTGCTGCCTCTCCAGGGTGCGTTGGCTCAGCCACTTACGGGTCAGCTCTGGCCAAGGAGCAAAATTAAGTACCTGGATGTCCTCACAGAGCAAAGCCACACACTGTCCCCATATCCCAGTCCTTCAGTCACCCCCAATCCAACCATTCCATAGCCAGGGCTGTGGCAGAGCCAGGCTGAGCTGGGAGGGAGCTGGGTGTTCCCAATGCTCAGGGTGTCCTGCTCACCCCATTCCCACAGCCTCAACCCCAGCTCCTGTTGGTGCCACAGCCCCTGGCAGTGCTGGGTGCCGTGGGATGGGCAGTGGGATGTGGGTGGGCAGTGGGAAGTGGAAGATGGTTCGGCCAGGGGAGGCAGAGGAAAGGGAAGAAGTGGGAGTTTAAGTGGACCCGAAGGCAGCACGGTGTGAGAGGGAGCAGAGCTGCTGCTGAACTGGGTGGCAAGGTCACAGCCATCCTGCCAGCACTTGGGGCTATAAATAGGGACAATTGGGAGTGAAACACAGACTCTCTCCTTTTTCGTTCCTGTGGGAGCACTGGGACTGTGGGAGGGTTTGGGAGGGCCCAGGAAAGCACTGCTGGGTGATGGCTGTGCTGGGAACAGGGGGGCTCTACCCCAGGGCTCATGGAGGGCTCTGGGGACAGCTGTGTCCCCAGCTGCATCCCACAGCCTTGCTGTGTCCCCTTGCTGAGTGGCAGCAAGACTCAGAGGAGGCCTGGGGCTGCTCAAGGTGGGGATGCTGAGGCTGAGATCTCTGGGGGCTCTCCCTGCTGCCTCTGCTCCCATTCCTTCATTCTGGCAGGGGAAGGACCAGGATTGCTGCCCATCACCCTTGGCAAGGCCCAGGGAGGTAGAGCCAGCTGTGGCCTGACATAAACACTGCCCATGCTGAGCCCAGCATCTCTCCTTCCCAGGAGCATCCCTGCTCCAGGCTGAGCCAGTGGTGTGGGCAGGGACAGGCAGGTGGCCTGGACAAGGTTTGGTTTAGCACCAGGAGCTGTGAAAACTCACCACCACCAGCCTGTTTCCTTCCACTCACGTGATGCTGTGGAGCAGCTCTGACTTCCCCATCCCGTGCCTGAAGACACCAGGGGTTTCAGCCACTCTTCCTCGTGGCACAGGGCATGGCCAGGGGTGTGCAGGGCCAGCACTGAGCCCCTCACCCTGCCAAGCCCCACTGCTGCCTGCAGTGAGCCCCACAGCATCCCCAAAGTGTGGGATGGGATCCCAGGCAAAGCAGGGGGCTGACAGAGCATGTGCCAATGCATTTCCTCTTCTACTTTCCTTCTCACTTCCTTTTCTTGCACTTTCTGCCTGCTGCCTTGCCCTCGCTTGCCACCTGCCCAGGGCATTTCCCTGCACAGAGCTGCCCCAGCGCCGCTCCAGGCCGGGGGTTCTGTGCAGTAACGAGGTCCCACTCCTCCTCTCCCCACAGGGTCCATCCAGGAGGCGGCAGGGACAGTAGCCAGGGGGTCTCAGAGCTCACCCGCGGGCTGGGGGGAGCTGAGAGCGGCAGAACAGCCCCTGAAACACGACCCAGACCCAGCGCCGTCCGCCGTGTATGAGGCTGGGACACAGGTGAGGCGTGACTGGGGTGGCAGGCAGGAGCCAGCACTAAATTGCAGCAAGTCACTGCACAGGGGCTGCTCCTTTGTGTGCTTGCACAGATGGGGGTTGGTCACTGCAGCTCCCTGACCCTCTCCCCCTCTCAGTACGCAGGACCCGCGTCCACAGAGTCACTCCTTCCGATGTCCCGGCATGAGACCTCTCCGAGCACGGTGCAACCCGCCAGCAACCACCGCCCCAACGCCTGCTGCTTCTGCTGGTGCTGCTGCTGCAGCTGCTCCTGGTACGTCCCCCTGCCCCTGCCCTGGCTCCTGCAGCCTCACCCACTGAGCATCACCCACCCACCTCGTCAGGGGCAGGGGATAGAGTGCTGGGTGCACTGTGATTGCTGTTCATGACACAAATCTCTTGGGATGCATAGAGGGACTCGCCCATGCTGTCCTGATGGTCTCCAGGGAAGGATGGCCCCATCCATATGAGCCCTCTGGGAAGCTCTGCCTTGCAGCAGTGGGCACAGAGTCCAGCCCTGCCCTCCCAACACTGCCCAAAGCCAAGGATGGAAGCAGCTGCTTGCCTCCATCTGCATCTCCTGTCCTTACTGAGGATCTCCAGCTCCTTATTCTCTGGATAGCCCAGATTTTGGAGAGCCCATCTGCTCTTCCTCCTCAGCATCTGCTCATTCAGAAATTGCTGATGACTCCAGCTTTGCAGCAGCTTTGGTCTTTACACCCACCAAGAGCAGTGAGCTTGGAGGAGCAAAAAACCCTGGAGCTGAGCCCTGTGCATCTCCCTCCTAGACATTGTCCTAGGTTTGGTGGCATTCCCTGTGTCTGTCCTTAATTTCTGCACGAGCCTGTGACAGAGAAGGAGCAGAAATCCCAGAGATGGGACAGCTATTCCAGCTATTCCTCCTGTATCCTGTTCCTGGTTGAGTGGGGCTCAGGCCTGGCAGGCAGTGAGCCCTGGGGGTGGCACAGGCAGGGACATGCCCAGAGCTTTGCCCACCCCAGCTGCCCACGCTGGGGCAGAGGTTTGCACAGCCAGTCCTGTGTGAGCAGCGGGGACAGTGTCGCAAGCAGGAAGGGCTGCGGTCAGTGCTGGGACCGAAATCCACGGGCCCAGGGGAAGTTGGCTGATGGCTGCTCTCCACTTGTGCCACCAGCACCCCAGGGACAAGGGGACACAGGGACAGGGAACACCACAAGCCCCAGCACCTCTATCCCACTATCTGCCTCCAGGCCAGACCGGTGCTGGCACGTCACCAATAAACATTTGTTTATTTCTTGGTGATTGTTCGTGACACAACAGCTCCCAATTGTTGTGAACGCATGAGCTCCGCCTTGGGCTGGTCCAGCACTGACCTCTGCCGGCTGCTGTGGCCACTCCAGCTCAGCTCAGCTCAGCCCTGGCACATGGCCCTGGCACATGGCCCTGGCACACAGCCTGAATGCTGGAGCAGGACCAGAGCCACAGCAGCCCCCGAGCACAGGGACAGCACAGGGACACGCTCACATGGTGACAGCATGAGGGAACCAGGGTGCCACCAGGGCAGTGGGTGAGAGGAAGGCATGGCTGGGGGGTGCTGGTGCCCACAGAGGAGATTCAGTGGCCAGGGGTCAAGGTGGGGTCTGCATGTGTCCCCAATGCCCCTGACTACCTTTCTGTCTGCCCGTTAGGAACGAGGACCGAGAGCGAGCATGGAGGGCATCCCGGGAGACCAAACTGGAGAGCATCCCAAACTGTGAAGCGTGGTGAGTGCAGGGCCAGTGCAGTGGGCTAGGGACAAGCACAGCATGGCACAGTATGGCACTGTGCCTTCTGCCACCCTCCATGGCAGCCAGGACTGTGTTCAGCCCTTGGGGTACACACCAGGGCTCAGGGGTTCCTGGTGATGTGTCCAGTTCATCCCCAGTTCTCACCAAGAGACAGGGAATCTGGAGCCACAGGCTGAATCCTACTGTGATTCTGCCCTCAGGCCCATTGCAAAGGGAAACTGAGGCATAGAAGAACCTCAGCAGATTTTGCACCTCATTCTACCATTTAGACCCACTGCCAAGAGCATCCTGCAGCCACAGGGAGAGGAGGGGACAGGCCATTCCCAGGGGGTCTCAGCGCTGAAGTGGAAGCAGTAGCAGTGTCCACATCCACTCAGGGAGGAGCAGGATGGGCCAGCACCCCACTCCAGGAATGCTTGGCACCAAGCACCCATTCCCTGAGTGACAAGCGTGACACACCCAGCCATGGGGGCTCTGTGCCGTGCCTGGAACAGCTGGGTCAGGGTTAGATGTGCTAATTAGCCATGGATAATGAGTGTACCTGGCCTGCTCAAACAGGTGCTGAGCATTTGCTGGGAAACAGCCTCCCTCCCTCTCCACCCTCTTCTCTCCCTCCGCAGCTGAGAGGGGTGATGGACCCGTGTCAGTCTCTTGGCTCAGAGCTGCCTCTCCACCAAAGGGCTTTTCCTCCTGTTGATATTTGTGCAGAGCCAGCACCAAAATACACCCCAGTTTGGGAAATCCATCCCAAAGCAAGGCTACGCTCCAGCTTGGCTGAGCAGAGCCCGGACAGAGCCCAGGAGTGACCTCTGAGAGCTCCACACCACCAGAGCCTGAGCAGGAGCATCTCCTCATGGGCACGGGGGATGTGGTTGGGCACAGTTCCTCTGGGGTGGGACCAGGGATGAGCAGGAGGGACACAGTGGGATCCCTGGGACACAGGAGGGACACAGTGGGATGTCTGGCCGGCTGTAACACCTTCCCCTTACCTTGCCATGGACCTGTCAGCGCCAAACCCACGCCGGAGGAGGTGCAGGGCTGGGCACAGTCCTTTGACAAGCTGATGAAGAGCCCGGCGGGGCGCAACGTCTTCCGGGAGTTTTTGCGGACTGAGTACAGCGAGGAGAACATGCTCTTCTGGCTGGCGTGTGAGGAGCTCAAAACCGAGTGCAACAAGCACACCATCGACGAGAAGGCCAGGATGATCTACGAGGATTACATCTCCATCCTCTCTCCCAAGGAGGTAGGAGGCAGAGCCTCTGAGGGGAGGGCTCAGGCTAAAATGGGGAGGGCTCTTAGGGCGAGGGCTCAGTTCCAGCTGCTGCCAGAGCCCTGTGACAGTTTGGGGATGAGTTTGGCAGGGTGACAACGGTGGGAAGGGGATATCCAGCCCCCAAAAACCCCCGGGACGCTGCTGGCAGGGGGACCGCGGGCCGGGTTGTGCTGCGGGGCCGAGTCCTCACGAGGGCACCAGCGGGCCGGGAAAATGCTGCATCCCGGCTTAGAGCATCCCTGGAATGGGGTACCCAGGGCGGGACCACCCCAAACCACCTCCCTATGCCCAGCTGGGGGACACAGAGGGGACCCAGAGAGATCCCCATTCCATCCTGCAACCCTCCCCAGCCATCAGGGCTCCAGTGCCAATATCTTCTGGGATGGAGCACATTGGTCTCCCCACATCTGGTGCTGCATTGTTCCCCGATTTCCCTTGAGAGGGGTGCAGCGGGCCGGGGGCTTGTCCTTGGGTGTCCCCCAGCCCCCACTTTCTCTCCATGCCCCCAGGTGAGCCTGGACTCGCGGGTGAGGGAGGTCATCAACCGGAAGATGCAGGAGCCGTCCTCGCACACCTTCGACGACGCACAGCTCCAGATCTACACGCTGATGCACAGAGACTCCTATCCCCGCTTCCTGAACTCTGCCATTTACAAATCGCTGCTCCAGACCGTCTCCCACTCCTCCTCGGAGTCCTAAGGGCACCCACGAGCCGTGGGGACAGCAGTGGGGACATGGTGGCCAGGGGCGGTCGGTGCCTCCTCCCCTCTGCCGCCCTCCTTGCCAGACCTCACCGTTTTTAGCTTTTTACCTATGAACTGTCACCCCGGTGTCTGGGCCACACTGCAGGACTGTCCCCAGGACACAGCCTGGGCCAGTCCATACTACTGATTCTCTGCCCTGTCCCCAGTGCTGGCCAGAGCGAGCTGGGGGAGCACAGGACAGCGCCAGGGCCTGGCTCCCCCCACACCCTGTTTGGAAGAGGTCACTTTATCCCATCTCCACACACCTGAGACCCAGTTTGGGGTTTTTTGAGGTGGGGGGGAGGTCGACTGTTGTTGGTTTGGGTTTGTTTTTTTAATTTTAAATGCTCCTTTGGTTGGCTTTTACTGGGGGACTTGAGGTGCGGGAGGGGGGTTGACGAGCATCTCTGTACATATAAAAACTTGTCAGGTTTACCTGGTTCCAGCTGTTTGAGGTGGCCCAAAGGGCAGAGGGGTGGTGCTAGAGGCTGTTTGTATTCCTGGTGGGGCCGAGGGCAGAGCTCTGAGGTGCCATAAGGGACCCATGGGGATGTGCTGGGGGGTTGAGCAGGAGATGTCTTACAGCTGCCTCCCCTGCCAGTCCCCAGGACACCACACACTGTCACCCCAAACCCAGAGCATCCTCCATCCTTGGTTCATGGATCTCAGGGAGGGGGAAAACACCTATGCAGGTGTTGTTTGCCCTTCTGCAGAACCCACAGGATGCCTGCATGAGAGCTCCCAGCTGACCCAGGCCTGCTGTGCCAGCAGGGAGAAGCTCAGGGGTCTGCCCTGGTCCCTGACTGAGCAGGGATCCGGGCTCCATGCAGGATGGAAGTGTCACAGGGAGGATACCGAATTCCCATGTTTTTGCACAGCACAAGGAATGATTTACTGAAGGCTCAGTATCCAGGATTAAAACATGTCTGTCCCTGCCCTTCACACTGAAACAAAGCCAACACAGGGGTTTTGCTGCCAGTCTTTGCTTCTCCTGATCCACCACAGCAGTTTCTTATTTATCCATCCCTTCCCCTCCTCTCTTCAGCCCCTCCAAAAAAAAAAAAATGCTTTTTATTGAACATATTTTTTAAACAAACCAATTCTTTCAGGGTTTTTTTTGTTGTTTTTGTTTCCTTCCTTCCTCATGGCATGACTGTGTGGAAATTCATGTCAGTAAATTTAGTTTTCTTTGCCAAGCTGGAAATACAGTTCAAGAAAATGTATTTTTGAGAGAGACCAGCAATGGTTTATTAGGAATGTCGGTATTGTTATTATTGGCAGGTTTTTCCCCAGTCTGCAACCTTACAGCATCCCCACCCTGCACAGGGGAAGTTTTAGTTCTGGGTTCATTCTGTGAATAAGGGAAATACTCTCAAATGTGGCCCCAGCCTGAGAGTTGGAGGTTAAACATCCCTGAAGCTGCTCAAGAGCATGGCTGGGGGTCAGAATCCCTCCACACAACACAGAGATCTCAGCACAGGGAAGACCCCACTGCCACGAGATAATCTAGTTTTTCTCTTGCTCCCACTCCCTTTCAAACCAAACACCTTACAAGCAAATCTTTACTTCTGAAACACCTTTTTATCCAGTGTGCTTCCCCTCCCTGGCTCTCCTGGAAAATGGAACTGTAAAATGACATGGTAGTTTTCCCAAACTCCTGCTTGGGACTCTTGGTACCTAATTCAGGATTGTCAGAAGGCTGTACACAAGCTCAGTTCTGCTCCTCACAGGAACACAAGAAGAAAGGCAAGAGGCACTGGCAAAGAGCTGGCTCCCTTTCCCAGCACACGAGCCAGTGCTGTGGTCAGCGTGGGTTTTAGATCCTGAAGCTTTTTCAGCAGCACTGCGAGGACACTGCTCCCTCCCAAGCCTGGCTTGAATAATCCCATTCACCACAAGACTCGTGAGGCTTAAAGGAGTTGTCAGCGTCTTTGAATATTTTCCTTCTTGGGAGACTTGGCTGCACCCTGTAAAGTGAAAGCCCTGAGCGAAGGATGCTGGTGGGATCCCTGCCTCCGGAGCAGCACAGCCCTCAAAGGGGCTGGGAGCACGTTTTCCGCTGCTTTCATGTGGCTGCTTACTCCTCTCCAAACATCTCCGAGGTCTCTGCTCAATGTCTGCTGTCTGGCATGCTGGGAAGCCAGTGGAAATACTTGTTTTTCACTCTGGAAGAGGGAAGCAATGCCATGAGATGTGACTGCTCCTGCCCTGCCCGTCAGCACAAGAGCTGGAGGGCACAGCACTGCTCCTGGGCAGCCTCAGACCCACAGAGCTTGCTGGGGTCTCCCAAATGCTGCATCGCCCCAGCTAAAGGCTATGAAAAGGAAAGAAGAGGGATTTTAAGTCTGGCTGAAAGCTGTTGTGAGCTCAGATGGAATTTCCCCACCAGGTTTTAGTTAGCTCCCAGAAGGAGCCTGATTCTGTATTTCTCCTTCATAGGGTCACATCTGCAGATGTGGCACCTGGGGCTGGCTTTGCTACAGGATCCTTTCCTTATCTTACCCCTTCCAAGCACCAGCTCTGAGCTCACTTCAAACCTCCTCCACTTCCACAGCTAAGTGCCAACAGCTCCCACCCATCCCTCTAGCCCTTACCTTGTCCAGATCCAAGCCTCTGGAAAAATTCCTGTATTTGCAGCATTTTCCCTCCTCCTGAGCCTCTCCAGCAAGCCCCTCTGAAACTCCAGGCTGTTTCTCAGCTGTCAAGCTACAAGCAGAGCACAAACAGGAAAGTGCCTGGCACTCACTTTGAACAGTTTGGGGTGGGATTTACTGTGGCTGGTGTCACCCTGCTCTCAGTCTGTTACAACCTGGGCAGTGCATTCTGATCTTTGCAGCAGCCAATGCTGTTGGCATTTAAAGGCTCAAGATGACAAGGAATCAGTGCAAAATCCAGTGAATGCTGCCAAGATGGAAAGCAACATCTGATCTCTGCCCCAAAAGCTGTTTCCTGTCAACAGTACTGCCCACCCAGCTGCCCCAGGCCGTGGCCCAGTAGTTGATATTCCATGAGGTGACAGAAACAAGCCTTCACGCACCAAGGGTGTGCCTGCAAGTCACATCTCACTTTCTGCTGCTCCAGGCATTATTCAGTCCTCATCTACCTGGACACGGACCGCCTGTCAAGTTCCAATGCTGGAAAAACAAAGTGCTTCACACACAGTTGAAATAAAAGTCAGAAACTGACAAAAATGTTTAATATTAGTTTTGAAGAGAAAGTGACCGTACTCGCTTAGATGAGAAAGTAATGACTGGGTGTGTTTAGTGAGCTCTCCTGCCAACCTGTCAGCCCATGGCTGTGGCTCTCTGCGAGGCCCAGGCCTCCCTGCTGCTGCTCTCAGCGTGTGACAATGCAAACTCACTGGGACACAAAACACAACTGCCATGGGAGCCGGCGTGCGGAGGCTGCGCTCGGGTCTGCGTTTGGCTGCCGCTCTGGGCCTTGGCACGTGTCAGCAGAACTGCAAGAGAAGGGAGTTTAAACCCCATTAGAAACCTCACTGCCAAGGGGAGCTGCAGAAAAAGGTAAGGATCCAGGTGTGGGCTTGTTTCAGAAGCTGGCAAGGGCTTGGGGGTTCTCAGAAGCAGGGGGCAAAGGGAGCTCCCATGTGAATCTCTCGCTGTGGTTCTTTGGCACTTTGTAGTGGCATCATTTCTGCTCACCACTGACCAGGAGATTTCTGCTCACCCCAGAGCTCTGTGCACAGCATGAAAGAGCCGTTCTGAAATCCTGAACATCATCACCACTACCCTCAGAGGGCAGAGGCAGCATGGAAAGCACTGTGAAGCTGGTTATGGAAAAATGGACATGAGAAGAGAGCAGGGAATGTGGAAGTGAGACTTGACCCCAGCTGGTCTGCAGGGATGAACCCAGGAGCTCTTGCCTCTGTGCTGAGAGGAAAGATCACTTTCTAGAGCCAGTGAGGGCTTGACAAGCACCTCTGAGGAGCAGCCAAGTGCCTGCAGCATGCTGGGAACAGCCCCCACCACCCCTCAGTGCCAGTAATAGCCCTGGTGTGCTACCTTCCAGCGATTCCCACACTCATTGCACACGACGAAGGTGGTCATGGGCTCATCGGAGCTGCGGGTCTGCACCTGGGGGGACAGAAGAGAGGTGAGAGCTGAGCATCACACATGGCCCTGTCCCTCTGGCCTCCAGGGGTTGGTGCTCAGCTCACAAAATCAATGAGAGACCAAGGTTTGGGATGGCAAAAGGACCTTTGCAGAAAGATCAGTCTGGTGGTTGTGTTACACACATACACGCATCATGACCCCCTTCATCCTGACGTTACCTCAGTGACAAGTTTTGGGATAGCATATTTTCCTCCTCACCCATTCTGCTGTCCATTTCTTGCAGGTGACTCTGGAAGTGGACGTGCACAGCCAATCCCTCCCCAAACTGTCCCCCAGGAAGGGATGTGGCCAGCACTGCCATGACAAACCCCTCAGTCCCAAGCACAAAAGCATTAAAAAAGCACTCCAGTCATTTCCATTTACAGAGCAGTCCAACATCCTGGCCTCACAGGAACACACTCCGGGTTACCAGGTTCTGCACAGTTCCAGTCTGGTTTGTGTTTGAGCCATTAAGGAACTCTGATATTTAACCCAGATGTGATTGCTGCCTCTGACTGGCTCTTGCCAGAAACACGTACTTTACTAAAAACCAGATTTTCGTGGCATTTGAATACCACAAGGCAGATCTAGACTGAAAACACTGGTACTGCCACACCAGTCAGGCAGAACTGTGCTGAGGGGTGATTATGGTGATCTGTGTGTGTATAATTACCCCATGTGCAAGAGCCACAGTATTTGCATGATGCAAATTAACCATTTTTACAAGAATGCTGGATAGCTGAATTCTGTAATTCTCCCCCTTTACTGTCTGCTTCCAACATGTTCATAAATGCCAGTGCATGTGCTTGAGACTTACATTTCATCACCCACTAGTGATTTCACTAGGAAACAAAGTACAGAAAGCCTCCTGATATTGCTATTTAGAGGACACTGCTGTCCCCTGCCTAAATTCCAGGCAGTCAAACTCCAGTCCACTCCAGGTGGAGACAGTGCTGGGAGTGTGCTGGGACAACCCAGGAATGCTTACTGGGAGCACTGGCAGAGCCAGCCTGTGGGATGTAAGACTGCTGCTGAGCCAAAGGAAACTCCCTGGTCAGACTCCTGGATCTCCTTCTCTTTGCATGTGTTTGTATGTCAAGTCCAAGCAGATGCAGGAGGCTCAGCCGGCACTTGCACACGCAGTTTGTGCG